CGGCTACTGGAAGGCTGAGGCGGAAGGATCGCCGGAGCCCAGCAGGTCGAGGCTGCGGTGGCCGGGAGCGGCCACTGTACTCCAGTCTCGGTGACAGAGTGAGACTCCAACTCAAAAAAAAAAGTCCACTAAAAAAATAGAAGTGAACTGTCTTGTACGGCACAGTAAGTATTGGAGAGTTAAAAAATTGTTAATTGTTTTAGAAAAAAGAAGAAAATGGGAAACTGCTCTACACATATCAATTAAAAACAAATGACTGGCAGCAGAGAGAGCTGCCATGGTTTCAGTTATTTCAGAAGCCGCTACTAGATTCATTCACTCGTTCTCTCCCCAAACCACCCACCTCTATCCTCAGTACTCCCTTCCTCAGTACCCCCTTCCTCAGCCCATGCCTCCCAACTCAGTGCCGCATGGTTGACTTCCCCATTTGGAGTAGCTGAGACAATAAGGGTACTTGAAGAATACAATATGACTCATCGCTGAACAAGAAATCTTTCCTTATTGATTGACTTTAGGCTTTTGGCCAATTTGGCCTCCTTGTTTGGCACAGTTCCCTCAGCATCACTTCTGAATTGTCCTTTCAATGCTCAGCTTAAAATCTACTTTGTACAAGAAACCATTTTACTTTGATAGAACGAGGTGAAATCCGATACCCACATTCAGCTACTGGTATGGACAAATTTACTATGAGTATACAGTCATCAAATTTGTATATTGATGTTGGAATCTCAGTTCTGTCATAGACTAAGTTTTAATGACCTTGAGGAAAACGAGGGTAATAAAACTTACCTTGCAGGGTGGTATGAATTAAGTCAGATAGCATATGTGAAAATGCCAAGTGTGGCACTGAGTCGGTGCTCAATATATGGCATATTTCTTGTCAAACCTGACTATGCCTTCTGAATTATTTAGTCTCTAAGTTTCTTGAAAGTAAAAGTGCTCTTTCCTGTGCTTTGTACTCTCACCCTAATTCAATGCCATATATCCACAGGAGACATTGTGGAATGATGTTTAGGAAGCTAGCAGATCAAGGATAAAGTTGAAAAGATTTATGTAATAAATAGTAGATGAGATGGAAAAAAAAGAATTTGATTCAGAGGTGGTGGCAAAGGTCTTTCTTTACATTTCCTCTTTCTATTCACTTACAATTTTATGTTGCCAAAAAGAGGGGACAGAGGTGTCATCCTGATGAGTGGAACTGCAAGATGATGTGCCAATACACCTGGTATTGATTCATGCCAGCTGGGAGAGGAGCTTGGCTTCTTGGTGTTTTACTACTGCGGTTTCCTGGGCTGGGCAGCTGGGTGCCTAATAATGATAAAACCATAATAATACTTCATAATTACGTACTGCCCTTTGCCAAACTTGGATTTAATTACAGTGACTATGACGGAACTGGCAACATCTCGCTCCCTGTTGGGGTGCAATACTCAAGGGCCTGGAAATACAAAGTGAAGTGGCAACAGCGAGCTTTTCCTGCAGGGCCCGTCCTGGCAACTCACCCAAAGTTCTCTGGGTTTGAAACGCATCATCAGAAACAAAGAGTACTTTTAAATTGCCCCACACATACTTGGCACTGTCAAGTAACTACCGCCACACATGGGGCACGGCACCATGGAATCCCAGGCCTGGAAGGGATCAAAACAGGTGATCTCATTCATAATGCTGTCCCCTGCCTCCAGGCACCACTGACACTACACCCAAGTAGGTGAGTTCATTGAACTACCGTTCCGATTTGGGCTGGAGATGCTCTTGTGGTAGAGATGCTCTTGTTTCAGGTGTCAGGGGACCAATTCATTTAACACTCATTTTGTGAGCATCTATTCTGAGCCAATGGGGGCACAAAGATGTATAAAGTATGACTTGACCTCCAACTACTTATCATCTGGTTTTGGAGATTTGTATTCAGAGAGCTTTACTAAAAATATAAAGATAGAGGGAAGTCTTGGTCGATGAAAGAGAATGGAAGTAAGACTCCAGGCGAAAGGATCAAGGCAATCTCCTCTTGGAGAATAAGACAAAAGCTGAGAAAGGGACTGCAGTGAAGAGCTAAGCAACAACTTGGGGAGGTTCTTGCAGGTTTCCCTGTTTTATTGTCTTCAAAGCACTCATCACCTCTGAATCATCCTATTTACTAATGTACTCATATATCACTTGCCTTGCCCCAATCAGGAAACTTAGCCGTTTTGTTCATCACTCTATCTTAAGCATCTCAAACAATTCTTGGCACATAGTAAGGTGCTCAGTAAATACTGGCCTAATGAATAAATGATGCAGAGGCAGTAGAAGTGGAGAGGAGAGGTCATTTCGGAAATATATTCAAAACAATGTTCGAAGGGGTAGGGAGATGTTAGCCTGGCTTGGGCAAGTGAGTGGTATTGCCATCTACCAAGACAATAAAGGAACAGAGGGGAAGGAGCAGGTTTTGTGGATGTCAGAGGGCATATGAGTTCCCATGTAGACACCTCATGTTGGCATGCAAGGGCAGATGTCCAAAAGGCACTGACATAGAGATCGGAACCTCATTATATGTACATCCAGCGGTTGAGCCATCAGAATGGTTAGATTACCTAGTTGCACCTATGTACCTACTAAGGAGAGGCCTGAGGATCAGAACCCGGGGATCTCTTTAAGAGGCAACAAGAGGACAAATTTAGAAAGGTTAACTGAAAAGAAGGACAATATGAGGATTTGGGTTGTTGGGAAAAGTGGGGTGAGAGATATGTTAAGGAAGAGAAAAAGCTTCAGGAGGGATACGGTCTACAGAATTTACTGCAAGAGACCGAGTAAAGACTAATGAGTGACTGTGTGGGCATATGGATGCCACTGGTAGCCTTAAGAAGAGAACTTTCCGTAGACTTGTGAGAATAATTTAGAATGTACTCGAAGCATGAATTGAAATGAGAGCTAGACAGCGTCTCACAGGCGAGTTTTTTTGGTTTATTTTCTAAGTTTGGTGGCGTTGGAACACAACCTCGGGCATGTCTAACACTTACGAAGTGACCGGTAAGTTTGTGAACGAGGAAAAGGTTTAAAAAAGGCCAGCTGGAAAGAGCCCTGCGGGCGTCACAATCCCCGCCTCCCCCCCCACCCCTTCTCTCCTTATATCATTCCAGCCATTCCCAGAGCGGGGGTCTCTTCCACATAAAGTGCAGGCAAGAATGAGGGAGACCGAACACCCTTTCCTCGATTTGTGAGTCATTTTTGTGGCAGTTGGGAGCGCGGATGGGAAGACGAATTACATGAAGCGCCCGGTTGCCCGTGGATCTCGCAACTTGGCCTCGGGCGGGCTCCTTGCTGAAGGGCGCTGGGGAGAGTCATTCATATTTTCCTACCCGGATTCACACCCTCCATTCAGCATTTCCCTCTCCTCTCCAGCAGACCCAAATCCAAGGACAAAGCTTCCTCCCCTCGCCCACCTCGGGTCGACCTTGCACCCCAAGCCCACCGCCGGCCCTCCTCGGACCACGTGACGCTGCCAGCTCCCGTGACTCCCCGCCGCCGCCGACCCCTCCCCTCGAGCCGCAGCCCGCTTTGCCCCGCCCCCTAGACACACGTGACTTCCTCTATCCCACCTGACTGGCTCCTCCCTTCCCCCCCCACCCCGAGCCGGACCCGGCAGCCGTCGCAGCTGCCCGACTCCAAAATGGCAGCCGCGCACTGCGCGCACCCGAGCGGCCGGACCTCCCTGACTCCCGGGCCGCCCCCTTCTCGCTCCCGGTCTCCCTCCTTCGGCCTTCACCTACGCGCCTCCGGATTGGCCGTCAGGAATCCCGCCCCCCCACAGCCCCGCGTGCTATTGGCCACGGTAGGCTGCCCTTCAGAGAGGCATGCCCCCGCCCGCCCCCGCCCGCCCCCCGCCCCGGGAGGTATTTTCCATTCCGGTGGGGGCTGGGGGGAGGGGA